GATACAATTTCAGATTCATCCTCATCATCTAGCCCATTGCTTCTATTGTATAGGAAAAAGAGATTCCAATGTTTTGCATCTTTTCATACTTCAGAAAGAAGTCTTCATCTAGCTGGAAAAGGGAGAAAGTGGATCAATATAAAATTATTTTATAAGTAAGCCAAGAACACTTTTAATGGTTGACTGAGCTCAAATTTCATGCCTCTGGTCATCAAGCATTGCCAGTTTTTATGTTGAAGAGTAGCAGTTTGCTTTCACTGATGTTTTTAAATAGTAGAATCTGTCAGTTTCTTCTTAGTGCCCTTGTTCAGAAGATCATCGAAGAGAGAATTGACCAGAATTGACTGAGAACCTTTGAATTCTTAATAAATATTAATTGTATTGATTTTAAAATCTAAATTTGTATAGTTCTTTTTAAGTGAAAGTGTTGTCAGGTTTAAAATAATGCTTCCTTGCAGAATATACATTTCATGTAGAATGTAGATTGAAGTACATTGGTTTGGTCAAAGAGGTTATTATCCAAAAGAATTAGAAACAGATTTTGTCAGACTTATGGTCTCTTTTGACAGTGGGAACAGCAGCTTCTTTGTAACTTTTCTTATGGTTTGAAAATCCTTCCTCTGGCAGAATACTCAAAGATATCTTCAAGGCTTCAATTCCTGAGCAAACACTGTGCACAAAATGGGTCCTCAGGAGGAGTGGAGTTCATTTAACTGCTCTAGGGCCATCATCTGACTTTCGCTGCTTCTCTGTACCCTAGCCTCCCAGTCCAAAAGATGTCTCTGGCGCTCACTGGCTGGTGGTTGAATGTCCATGTGGCAGTTCACTTTGTGGCTTATGCCTTAAGTTTTTCTCTTTCTTTTCATGAATGGTGATCCTCTTAGGAACAGAGGAGAGGTGAAGTGTTATCAGCTTTGCTGATTCATTAGGCGTGAAATTTTAGAGGCTTCCCTGAGAAGCTTGTTAAAAATACACTTGGGGTCAGTGCTGTGGTATAGGAAAAGTTGCTGCCTGCGATGCTAGCATCCCATATGGGTGCTGGTTTCTGTCCCGGCTGCTCCACTTTTGATCCAGCTCCTTGCTAATGGCCTGGAAAAAGCAGTAGAAGAAGCTGCTCCACTTTTGATCCAGCTTTCTGCTAATGTGCCTGGGAAAGCAGCATTGGATGGCCCAGGTCCTTAAGTCCCTGCACCCAACTGGGAGACCTGGATGAAGCTCCTGACTCATAGCTTTGGGTTGGCTCAGCCCTGGTCATTGTGGCCATTTGGGGAGGGAACCAGTGGATGGAAGATTTTCTGTCTCTTTCCCCTTCTATCTCTGGAACTCAGACTTCAAATAAATAAATCTTTAACAAAAAATACACTCGCATATATATTCCCCTTTTAATATTCTCTTGTGTGTGTGTGTGTGGTTTTTTTTTTTTTTTTTTTTTTTTTTTTTTTTTTTGATTTATTTGAAAGGCAGAGTTGGAGTGGAGGAGAGAGAGAGAGAACGAGCAAGCTTCCATCCACTAGTTTACTACCCAAATAGCCACAATGGCCAGGACTAGGATGAAGCCAGGAGCTTCCTCCAGGTCTTCCAAGTGCAGGGGCCCAAGCACTTGGGCCATCTTCTGCTGTTTTCTCAGGCACATTAGCAGGGAACTGGATTGGAAGTGAAGTAGCCAGGACTAGCGCCCACATTAGATGCCAGCACTACAGGCAGATTTTTAACCTTCTGTGCCACAGTGCTGGTGCCTACGTTTCATCTTTACTTAAATAGATTCTTTTTTTGTTTTTTAGAGATTTTTTTCTTATTTGAAAAGCGAAGTTACAGAGAGAGAGGGAAAGATAGAGACCTTCCATCCGCTGGTTCATTTCCCAAATGGCCACAACAGCTGAAGCTGGGCCGGTCTGAAGCCAGAAGCCAGTAGCCAGTAGCTTCTTCTGGATCTCCCAGTTGGTTGCAGGGACTTAGACCTGGGCCATCCTCTGCTGCTTTCCCAGGCACATTAGCAGAGAGCTGGATCAGAAGTGGAGCAGCTGACACTTGAACCGGTGACCATATGGGATGCCTGTGCCATGCCACAGGTGGCAGCTTTACCCACTACACCACAGTGGCAGTCCCTAATATTCCCTTTGTTTTAAAAATTACCTCTGTAGTCCACGTTTACTAAACTATGCTGAACAATTCAGAGGAATATAAAGTCAAATTTAACTCTTTCCCTTCCCAACTTTTGTCCCAGTAAAATCAATGTTAACACATCAATGTATATCTCTTTGTGTTTTTCTAAATATACACAAACTTAAATATAAGATTAGTTGGTTGGGGCAGGTTGGAGGTATTATCTTTTTTTGTTGTTACATATTATAACTGAAATATTTATTGACCTGTTTAAAATGATAGATGAAGATTATTAGCAGATTACTTTTTTCCATCTCTACTACCTAATAATTATTTTTGTTTTAATTTTTTTGTTAACAATAATTGGTGTTTAATTTTAAAGATGTATTTATTTATTTGAATGTTAGAGTTACACAGTAAGAGAAGGAGAGGCAGAGAGAGGTCTTCTATCCGCTGTTTCACTCAGCAATTGGCTGCAAAGGACAGAGCTGCGCCAATCCAAAGCCAGGAGTCAAGAGCTTCCTCTGGGTCTCCCATGTGGGTGCAGGGACCCAAGGACCTGGGCCATCTTCGACTGCTTTCCCAGGCCATAGCAGAGAGCTGGATTGGAAGTGGAGAAGCTGGGACTCAAACCCGGCGCCCGTATAGGATGCTGGTACTGCAGGCAGCGACTTTACCTGCTACGTCACAGCGCCCAAACCCCGGTGTTTGTTTTTTAAAAATGGAATTGCATTAAACATCATACTACTTTGTTTCTTTCTCATATTATGGCACATTTTAGACAGCATTCCGGATGAAAATACATTTTCATTGAGGGTAAAAAATCAGAAAGCACCTGACTGGGGAAGAGTGCTGTCACTTTAGGAAAGAAGTCATAAGGAGAGAGGTCTGGAAAGCATTTCCATCTTGTGGAAACTGTTGTCCTGCACCCTCTATTTGGGATCAGAGCCACTGAACACTTCTTGCCTACCTTCAGTGCCGCAGTGGGGACTGGGTACATTTTCAGTTCTCCTTTAAGTTGTCAGGTTCTAGAATGGAATGACAGTTCTGTGGTCTATGTTGTTGTTCTAAACATTCAGTGATCAGAGGGCAACTTGTTTTACATTTGAGTTAATTAGATAATTTTAAGGATGAAAGGTATACAAACAGTTCCAAGTTGTCAGTAGGGATTTGGGGCTTAACCAGTCATTTTAAAGTTTTTCTTTAAGGTAAAATAAAATGTTTTTAAAGTATGTTTATTTTTCAAAGAAGATTTGGTACATTTTAAATAATACTTAACTTTTAGCTTCTTATAAAAACAGTCATTTGAAAGTGAAATAAAAAATTCAAATATCATGTTTTTGTGTGTGTATGTATTATGGTATTTTATGAATTCTCCTGGATGGTAAGTTGAGAACATGATAAAAAATATATCTTTTTCTGAGAGTCTTAAGTTCCATCTTCAGATACAGTCACCTAAGGTTCTTTGTCAAAAAGGATAGTGAACTTCATTTGAGACTGAGATAGAAATTAATATTTCTCTGAAAATATACATATGTGATACTTCATATAAATTTCACATATATGCATTTCAGTACCTAAAAGGCTGTGCTCTTTGTTTTTCTAATGTTTTTCCAACTAGGGTCCAACTAGTGGGCAAGCAGCAAAACAATGAGCTGGAAATTCTAATGGCACAGAGGGTTTGAAAAAAAAGATGGCCAGAGGCCGGCGCCGCGGCTCACTAGGCTAATCCTCCGCCTAGCGGCGCCGGCACACCGGGTTCTAGTCCCGTCGGGCGCCGGATTCTGTCCGGTTGCCCCTCTTCCAGGCCAGCCCTCTGCTGTGGCCAGGAAGTGCAGTGGAGAATGGCCCAGGTGCTTGAGCCCTGCACCCCATGGAGAACCAGGAAAAGCACCTGGCTCCTGGCACCTGCCATCGGATCAGTGCGGTGCGCCGGCCGCAGCGCGCCGGCCGCGGCGGCCATTGGAGGGTGAACCAACGGCAAAGGAAGACCTTTCTCTCTGTCTCTCTCACTGTCCACTCTGCCTGTCAAAAAAAAAAAAAAAAAAAAAAAAAAAAGAAAAAAAAAAAAGATGGCCAGAGAGGATCAGATCATTAAACCCAAGAATTTGGGTTCGTTGCTTTTATTGGGGGATTAAGGGGATAAAATATGGTCATTTATCTTGTACAGAAGAAGACAGAGGGTCAGGAACTGGGAACCATGGACAGGAAAAATAGAAAGGACATGGTGCTACTCCTCATTTCCTGTTGTGTAACCAGTCTTAGTGTAAAATGTTTTTGTTGCTTTTACATCTCTCTGCCGTTTTGTGTGGAAATGTGGGTTGGAGGTTCCTTTCACAAGTACAAGGTGAAGTTGTGGCTGAGGAGTGTTGGTGTCTCCCATAAATAGGAGAGCAGCAACTAGACAGCACGCCCTGGGGCTCCTGCCAGGTCCCTATTCCTCAGGGACCACGGCTAATTTTCCAGATCTTTTGGAAGATGGAACTCAACTCAACCTTCAAAATAGCTGGGACTGATGGCCTGGGACTGTTTTCTCCATCCCCCCTACCTCCCCTGCACAGGCTTAGTTCAGAAAGGCAGCTGGTGAGGACCAGCTCACAGGATTGGTCAAGTTGCTCAGGACAAGGTCTTTCTCATTTTGTCACTTACTTCTTTGTAGCTTGTCAGTTTGTAGCCTATCAGTCATTTTACCTTATTTTCTCCATCTTAAGAGTGGGGAAAAAGTAATTTTTGTTTAACAAGGGAAATTGGACATTCAATATTTGTAAGTAAGTACCTTGAAATCTTTCTCTGGAAAGCACTGTAGAAACACATTATCGCTAATGGTTCTGAACAGCAGTTGTATAGGATCTGTCAGAACTGATGGATATGCTTTTCTTCCTGACCCCTCTTTCCAGAACTCACACGGCAGTTAAAATAGCTCCAAGATACAGTGCTCCTGTAATCCATGTCCTGGATGCATCCAAGAGTGTGGTGGTGGTAAGTGTGGGCCTTCCATTTTATTTCAAATATGCTGTAAAAAGAGAATGAAGAGAGCATTAAGAATTAAAGATATCGCCCCAGAGCTATTTATTCCTTGTCCGTTTCTACTTACAGAAACTAATAGAGCAATGTAAGGCTTGTAGTGTGCCATTGCAGTGTCTGCCTCGCTGGGAGGAAATCTTGTGCTTTCAAGTACACTGAGGAACGAAGCAGACAGACAGGTGGCACCAAGACACCTTTGACCTGTACACCTTCCCGGACAGAGGGATTTCACCCACTTGTGGTATGAATAGGGATTTACGACTCCATTGCCAGATCTAAAAGAAGTGTAAGGTTTTTCAAATAACCATTTTCCAGATAGACGTTTCACTTGAGAATGGGCCAGTTGAGCTGACCCAGAGACAGAAAAACATTTGCTATATAGTCAAAACCCAGAATAATGGTCCCTTCTCAGGGAATGTAGTTAAAAATTTGCCCAAGCATCTTTCCTTGCTTTTCTCCTTCAACAAAGTCTGATATCCAATCTTGTTAATGGCTTTCATCGTTTTTGCCACTGGTGGGGATCTGAGAGACTACGTGGTTCATTGATTTCCAAGTTAGTTTTAACTGCAGCCCCCCTTGGCTATAAATGGAGGTTCTCTGGAACCTCATTGTGATACAGAAAAGAGCTGAATAGCCCCTTAACGTCCTTCATCCTGCTCCAACATCTTTTTGAAAGAGCACAGCCTAAAAACCACCAGTGTAGCCCAACCATCTCATTCTGTAAGCCAGAAGAGTTTAGTGATGGGACCTGGTGATCTGGAGACTTTCAGCGATACCATGCAGCCAGTCCTATTCCAAAGAAATTCTTTCGGATCTGTGGATTTGTTTACATGAAAGTTACATAATTTTTACTAGCACTGAAAACTTTCAGTAAGCCAGGAAATGAGCTAAGTGCTTTTATGTGGATTATCTTATTTGTCATAGAATAACCTCATGAGATAGGTTATTTTATTATGCTCCATTTAGTGATGAGCACACAGAGACATGAAGAAGTTAACTCTGGAGGCAGCAGGTGGCAGGTGTTGGATTTGAATGCAGCTGGTCCTACTCTGCTAAGTTGAACATATTCCTATTACTATTTAACAGTTCTCCTTTATTATAAAGGATAGCAGTAAATTAGGTTGGAATCATAAAATTTCCATGTTTTTAAATTTTACCTGGGACTGGCACTGTGGCATAGTGGGTAAAGCTGCTGCCTGCAGTGCCAACATCCCATATGGGTGCTGGTTTGAGTCCTGGCTGCTCCACCTCTAATCCAGCTCTCTGCTATGGCTTGGGAAAGCAGTAGAAGATGGCTCAATTGCTTTGGCCCCTACACCTGCTTGGGAGACCCGGAAGAAACTCCTGGCTCCTAGCTATGGATTGGTATAGCTCTGGCTGTTGCGGCCATCTGGGGAGTGAACTAGCACATGGAAGACTCTTTCTCTCTCTCTCTCTCTCTCTCTCTCTGCCTCAGCCTCTGCCTCTGCCTCTCTGTAACTCTGCTTTTCAAATAAATAAATAAATCTTTAAAAAAACTTTACCATTGACATAGACTAATGTATAATAAAAGCCATATGTATACATTTAAATTTTATAATAAAGCATTTTTTACAAATTAAATATTTTACTTTGAAAAAAATAAAAGTTGAGGACAGGAGCCAGGAGTTTCATCTGGGTCTCCCATGTGAGTGGCAGGAACCCAAATACTTGGGCCATCTGCTGCTGCTTTTCCCAGGCCATTAGCAAGGAGCTAGATCAGAAGTAGAGTAGCCGCCACATGAACCAGTACCCACATGGGATGCCGGTGTTGCAGGCAGCAGCTTTAACTGGTATGCCACAATGCTGGCCCCTCGAATAAATTTTTATCCTATTTTTGGATTATACCTCATAAGAGTTTTTTTTTTTTTTTAATTTTTTGACAGAGTGGACAGTGAGAGAGAGAGACAGAGAGAAAGGTCTTCCTTTGCTGTTGGTTCACCCTCCAATGGCCGCTGCGGCTGGCACGCTGCTGCCGGCGCACCGTGCTGATCTGATGGCAGGAGCCAGGTACTTCTCCTGGTCTCCCATGGGGTGCAGGGCCCAAGTACTTGGGCCATCCTCCACTGCACTCCCTGGCCACAGCAGAGAGCTGGCCTGGAAGAGGGGCAACCGGGACAGAATCCGGCGCCCCAACCAGGACTAGAACCTGGTGTGCCAGCGCCACAAGGCGGAGGATTAGCCTAGTGAGCCGCAGCGCCGGCTCCTCATAAGAGTTTATATCATATCCATGGTTGAGTATCCAGTAGGGCTAGGCTTGTTGCTATTTTCAAATGCTGATGAATGGCCTTGAACAGTTTCCATTTGGAGACAAGGTTGTTGGATCTCTTTAAGTGTATAGGCTAATGTTTTCCCTACAGGTAAGGGAAGGAATCAACCCTTTAATTCCATGTTTGCAGAACAAGCTCCTTCATTGTCTTGAAGAATTGGAGCAGCCTCGGCCTTCCTAGAAGCCAGACAGAGGGCAAGGATGGATATTTGTATTTCTGCAGTTTGGTCCCACCAGACAGCTGGTAGTGCTTAGCCTTTCTCATAAAAAAAGAAATGACCGCTTTTTCAAGTTACTCAAATATATGTCAGATGATAAATCTTTTAGGTAATCACTAGTGACGCTTTTCAGGAGCCAGTGGTATAATTTGTTTTGATCGGTTGTTATCTTTTAATCTAACTGAAATGAACATGGAACAGGACCATGCTCTTTATATATTTGAAAGATCCTAAAAAGATAAAACAGATACTTAATGACTAGAGATTCAACCCTGTGGATTCTCTTTGCTTTTCTTTCTTGTTTAATACACAACAAATTGCCAGTGTTTAGTTCTTTTTCATTTATAAAATACCTTTTTAACTTATTTCCTCTCATTGTGCAGATATTACCATATAAAATCAAAAATAAATGAAGATAAACAAAAGCTGTAATATATCTATGTAATATATCTCTGTTGGCATGAAAATGCATAATAGACTTTGATATTTTGGTAAAAGGACCATATATAATAGTTCATAGGCAGTCCATGAACTTGTATCCATCAGTCAAGTCAAACTGGACAGGATGGGACCTGTTACTGTTTTGGAAGCAGGAGGCTCCACTGGGGTGTGGAAGGTGTCAGCAAATTATTTTATGTTCCTGACTACCCAGTAGAACTTGTGTAAGAGCATTGTAAATTAAATGTAGGTTAAGGAAATCTGGATTTGCTTTAGCGAAATGTAACAGTGTTTTAAAATACTGGTTGCAGGGGCTAGTGCTCTGTTATAGTAAGTTGAAGCCTCCACCTGTGCCCCAGCATCACATATGGGTGCTGGTTCAAGTCCCAGCTGCTCCACTTCCAATCCAGCTCCCTGTTTTGTTCCTGGGAAAGCACAGAAGGTGGCCCAAGTCCTTAGGCTCCTGCACCCACAAAGGAGACCCAGAAGAAGCTCCTGGCTTCTGGCTTTGAACTGGCCCAGCTCCAGCTATTGAGGCCATTTGGGGAGTGAACCAGTGAATGGAAGATTTCTGTCTCTCCCTCTCTGTCTATAACTCTGATTAAAAAAAAAATAAAACATTGGTTGCTTCTACTTTCGGGAGCTCAGGAGTAGGCATCCCCATCTTGTTTTTCTGTTAGCTCTGCTGGTTTTCCTAAATTAAAACTCTATTGAGATGAGTTTAATGTGGGGCTGGAAAATATTTTGCAGTGTGAATACTATTTGAAAGCCTATTTCTAGTCTGCCACAATGACCTTTTCTGATTATATTCCTTAATAAAATTATTTTGTTTTTTACTAACTTGTAAGTGATTGGATTGTTATTAGAGATACTACTTGGAAAATTCACATAGAATTACAGATTTTTAAAGCTCTAAGCACCTTAGCATCATCCAGTCTAGCTTCCTTAATTTCAGATGAAGATACTGAAATCCCTGTTTTTTGTTTTTGATTTTGTTTTGTGTCAGAGAATACAGGCATTGAGCAGTGCTGTGAGTTAGCTAAATTTTTTTTTGTAATTTTATTTTGATGGTGGATATTCATCTACCAACTTAATAATTGTACCTTGATGGTAGGTAATCACCTACCAATTTGATAATCATAAATACAGATATTTAGCTGATCTTAGTTTTGCCATGTATTGAATAGCCTCACTTTTTCTCTGATCAACAATTTGCTTTCATATTTTAGCCAAAGCTCACAATTGATCATGAAGATTAGCCTCATTCCTTCATTAAACATTTAGTTAGGATGCAACTTGTACATGTCAACCACTGAGCTAGAATCAGGCATGCCAGTGGTTAAGGTGTGAACCCAGCTCTCAAAGGGCCTGTCCTCTGGAAAGGGAAGTAAATACATAAAAAGACACTGAAAACCTCTGATAAGTGCAGTGATAGAGACATGAACAGAGTGTCTTTGAAATACTACAGAGGGTATCTTAACTGTGGCAGCACTCAGTGACTCACTGGAAGGACTCACAGAACTCAGAAATGCTGTGAGTCTCACAATCACAGTTTATTGTCTTGACAGGATATAGATTAGCATCAGAGGTCAGACAGATACAGCCTGAGCCAAGGGGGTCACCATAAATCAACTGTTAGCATAAATTAGTTTGGTTCAAGGACCTGGGTATACAGTGATACTCATATCAAGCAGGATATCCCGAGGTCATAGAGTTTATCTCCCGGACACCAGTGAAGGACTAGTCTTTGTTCTGGTAAGCTTTTAACATGCTGGATTTACGCTTATTGCACATCCAGGCAGAACTTGGCCCAGTGCGTGAAGGGAGAGCAAATGATGTTAGGGAAGGCTCCTGAAGGTGGTATAACCAGAGCTGCCCATGACTGCTGGGATTGCCTTTTCTTCTGCTGCTTTATGGTTAGTGAACATTATCTTGCATTTCCAGTGTTCTCAACTGTTGGATGAAAATCTAAAGGATGACTACTTTGAGGAAATCATGGAAGAATATGAAGATATTAGACAAGACCATTATGAGTCTCTCAAGGTGAGTGACAGAAACAGGTCTTTGCTTATTTGGGCAATTCAGTGATCCCATGGTTTTTAATGTGACTTTACTGTTTTGAGGGAGGGTAAGAGCTTACGATCATTTCAGAGAAGTCTTATTTTCTAATTCAAATTAGTTTTTCAGGGTCTTAAGTTCCCAATAATTTTTGGTTATATTAAAATGAATTTTATTTATTCAGCCAAACATGTATTGGGCCCCCAGTAAGTGTTAGGTACTATGCTAGACACCAGAGTTATGAGAATGAGTAAAACATGAGCTTCTACCCAGCAGGGAGACAGGAGCTGAAACAGTGTACGGAAATGATGCTCACAGATCCCTGTTCTTGAGGGAGTAATGGAAGAAAATGGGGACATTAGACAGGACCATTGTAAGCCTCTCTCCCGGATTGCCCAACAGGACTGTGTAAAAGCGATGTTTCAGGAACTGTCCCTCCCTAGATAAACTTCAGAGAATCTGTTCAGAGCAGGGACAGTGACTTCCTTTGAAGCCGTTGAGGTAGCTCTCCCTGGTTATCTGCCTTCCCAGATTTTACTTTGTGGGAGCCTTGGGAGAATTGTTAGGCAAGGGGGAATGAGCTAACAAAGAGCCTGATGAAAACATGCTGCTTTGTTTTGGGGGAACTGGTTAGCCCAGGATGCTGTGGTTGGCCTTCTCTCTTCTTGAGTTTGTGTACCTTAACAGTCCCTCAGTTCTACCTTCTGTCCTTATGGTGGTTGATGGCAGGCCAATTAACATCCACCAAGGTTCTGAAGATACTGGCTTGCTTATTCCAGGTTCTGTCTACATGCAGAGTTGACCTTAGGTTTACATGTCAATATTCCTCGTTCTGGTGCTAGTGTAAATGAAACCCTACTGAAAGGGAAAGGAAGAACTTTTTAGAGTAAGGATTTTTATTAATAAAAGCATTTGTTTTCTTGCAAAACTTATAAAATGGCATACTTGGACGTATTTTCGTAGTAGCAGTGGCAAGCTAAGAGTCTCTGACTAAATAACTTTTTTTTTTTTTTTAAGCAGGAGAGAAGATACTTACCCTTAAGTCAAGCTAGAAAAAATGCTTTCCAGATTGATTGGCTGTCTGAACCTCACCCAGGTCTGTTTTTCTGTTGGCTAGAGAAAGGCTGGGCGTGATAACTGACAGTGCACTGAGGAGATATTTGTATTAACTTGGCTACAAAATGAAACCGGCTTCTAGTTGCTCTCAGTTGTGTCAAATAATGAGTGACCCTGATGACTGTGAACAAAGTAAATGGGTACCATTTATGGAGAGCCTGTGGTGTGCCAGACACTGTCCTTAGGTGAACCCATAAGAGCTTTGTGAGTCCTTGAGACAACTCCCATGTGAATGGGGGTCTTATCTCCATTTTAATTTGAGGAAACTGAGTTTTGGCTAATAACTTGAAACGTTACTAGGTTTCTATCTCAGATCTGTCTCTTTCCTCTGTGCTGTGCTTGAAAAAGCTCTGTGGAGATATGTGTGGGTGGAACTGTCATTGAGGTGGCCTGGGTCTCAGGCCCAAGGGCAGATGTGGAATGTCTGACATTGAACATGCCTCTGCTGGTGCAGATCTTTGTAACATTGCAGCAAAGCTGTACTGCCAGTTCCTTATTTTCTTTCTCACTCTCTCATGGGTGATTCCCTTTCTTTGTATTTCTTTTATTGGGTTTTTTTCTCTTTCTTTTTTCTTCTGATTTCTGTCCACCTCTCTTGACTCACATAGGTGTTCATGTGGGAATAAAATGTGTAAGATGTTTTGACAGACTCAGAAAGACATGAAATACAAATGCAAAACCGAGACAGGGTGAACAGGGCTTCTATTAATTGAATCCGTATTTCCAAGATGATATCTCAAATCGGCTTTTATTGCTCCTGACATCTGTGTTCTGCACATGCTCGGCAAAGTTGTGAGGATTAAATTGGAAATGTAGGTGTGCTTGGTTCTAATTTCATTCCTGCAGAGTTCTGTGTGGTTCAGTGGAAAGAATGCCAGAGTAGGAGCTGGGAGGCCAGCGTTTGCATCCAAACTTGGGTCCTGGCTCTGATTCATTACATGACCTTGAATGTCTTTCTTCCACACTTGACAGTTTCTGACATGTGAAAAGAGGGTTACTTTATGGAAATGTTATGAGGATAAAAGTAAATATCATATGAAAACCTTTGAAAACATAGAAATCACTGTGTATTCCAGCCACAAACATTTGCTCTTCATCTTTTTCTGTGAAGTTAGACACAAGGGCATGTCTGTTTTGATGAAATCAAACATCCAAAACGTATTTTTGTAGAGATAATCCTGGGAAGGCCAAGAATGCCTGGCGGCAGTGGGGACTTTACAAGTGGCTGATTTAACCCCCAGAGCAGGGCCCACTGCAAGCTCTGACTTCGGCCTAAGGGCTTTGGGGCCCTAAGGAACAGCCCTCGGAAATGTTTGTGTGGGCAACTCAGTCTTGGGGTAATTTCAGAAAGTCAGTACAGGAATGAAGGAGATCTTCTCTCAAGGCCCTGCATGTTAAACCTGGAGCAACTCGAGAACTTAGGGGGTCAGACTTGTCAAGGGCAGTGGCCCCGGGTGACACTGCAGCAGCACGCAGTTCCCTGCTTTCCTGAGCAGGAGGCCACTTTAACCAGGAATCTGTCACTAGTTGCTGTTTGATTTCTCTACTAAGTAGACTGTACAGACTGTGTTTCCAGACAAATCAACATGATAGAAGATTTACAAAGGAGGGATCAGCCTCTGTAGTAAAAAGATGACAGGGCAATATGGAGAGAGCACTGTAAGCCAGTGTGCTAAGGAACGGTTCCCAGGCAGAGATTCTACTCCTGCTTATCTGTCCCGGTACTCTCACCCTGCACTTCAAGATTCTGTGTTCTTTTAGAGCCCCTGAGGTTGGTAGAGTAGTTAGAGACTGGCAAGGATAAACAAGAAGTCTTAGAGCTGCAGGAGGGTTGGCATCATAGAGTCTGGCTGTGATACTGCTGCTCTTGGTGGCCCAGAAAGCCCAGTAGCACCATCGCTCTATAAGGCCTTCACAATTATATAAATTATGGTAGGCCTTAGACTCACGAGATGTTAAGAACAACCTATTTAATATTCATGTATACCCACTAGTCAGCTGAAGAAATATTTAATAAGAAACAGCAACACAATTATATGTAGTGGAATGCGTGTGTATATGTCCATCCCCCTTCCTTCCTTTAATAAATAACCACAGTCCTGATTTTGGGACTTCATTTCCTTACAGTTTGTATGTTTATGTCAGTAGGCAATATAGATGATTGTTTCATGTTTTAAAACTTTATATAAGCAGCCTACTATATATGTCTTTCTGTAGTGATCTTTATTTTAGTCTTATTTTCATTTGCATAGGGGAAGATTAACCCAAGTCTTTTTTCTTGGTGGAATGGGGGTGGAAGGACTGAGAGAAGTTTCCAAGAGTGGAGTAGTCAGTCAACTGCATGGGAAGAACAATTTTATTTAAGATTTGGTGCAGAATTACTCCTTTTCCACGGTAATTTAAAGTTCCCCTCTATGTAAGACAACTCCTACGGGTGACAGGAGGGAGGCAGAGCGTGGGAGTCAGCGCAGCAGTGAGGAGCTGGCAAGGCGGCCCCTGTAGGCAGTGTGCCAGTGTGAGGGGCTCGGCCTGAGCACTGACAATTGTACTTTTTTTCTTGTAGTGAAGCCCACGTTTATCGGGACCCAGGTCTTTGAAGACTATGACCTGCAGAAGCTGGTGGACTACATTGACTGGAAGCCTTTCTTTGATGTTTGGCAGCTCCGGGGCAAGTACCCGAATCGTGGCTTTCCCAAGATATTTAACGACAAAACAGTAGGTTAGTTCAGTATGTTCTTCCTTCCTGCCTCTGATAATCAGGATGTGGTACTGTGAAGGACAAAGCGGTGATTGGGATTATGCAGGGGATTTCTGCTTTCGTATTGTTAACCTGCTGAACTTCTGGGTGGGTTTTAAATTGGTTAGTACTTACTTTATCCACTAAATTTGACCTTTCACTTACATGTTCTTTCAATAAATGGACATCCGCCATATGCTGGGTTTTGTGCTGGGTACTAGGGATAAACAGAAGATAGTATAATTCCTGCCTTTACTGCATGACTAACTGGCACAGTCTATGTAATGGTTACCTGTTGGGTTCCTGTTGAAGGCCTGGCCCAGCCACATGGACACAAGAAGAGGAGACAGAGCTTAGACTGGGAGGCCAGGGCTTCCTGGGATAGGGAGCATTTAAACTGCTTTTTGAGTTACTGGAGGTGGAACTGGGTTTGCAGGATGACATTGAAGGAAAGGATCTTCCAGGTAGAGGAGATGGAGTATGGGACGACAGAGACACCTGCGCCCATTTGGGAAACTGCAAGGAGTCCAGTGGCCTGAGCATAGAGTAGAGGAGTAGGATTCGGGATTGTAAACTAGATAAGAAAATGAATCAATAAACAGTTATTCCCAAATGTCACTTTGAGCCTAATGCCTAAACCTTCCCCAAGAGACATGGAATCAAGATGAAAAGCTATTCAAAGAATCAGGTAATGATTAGATCAGAACAAGATGTGGGTGGGGGTAGACTCGTGGAAGTAGGAGACTAGATCTCAGAAAAGCCTGAGAAGCCAGTGCCTTGTCAGCTTCCTAAACACATCCTGGAAGTGTGTGCGTATGAAGCTGCTGGGACTCAGCAGCTCTCAGAAAGCCTGGAGTACAGTGGTGGGCAAGGGTTTTCTCACTGTGCTGCTCCCGAGTCATCATGGGCAAACAGTGGGGAGACCGTAGGACAGGCTATTCACAGAGCTTGGGCTGCTCCATTTCACTGACACAGAAAGCTATGGAGGGAGTCAGGAGAGTGGAGGCCTGGCTCCCTTGTGCAGGTGCCGAGACTGTCCAGGCGCTGTGCAGAAGCCACACTGTCATGCCCCCAGAGGTCACTGTGAAGTCAGTGGAGTTGTGTGTGCATGAAGAATGTCAGGGAGCCAGGAATCTGGCCTGCTTTTTCTCACCCTCTGTCTGACAGACTGCTTTGGGGAGCAATGCTTTGGCTCTCTGCCTTTTGTTAAATGGAAAAATTTAAGTGGCTTTAGCTGAGGGAAGCAGACTGGGAGCTTCACTTAGCAGGAACCACTAAGCCCTGGCTGCTCTGCCTTAAAGTATGCTGGTGGTCAACACTGAGAAATTATTTGAGGAGAATAGACAGGAGTGAAAGGAGAAGATGGCTGAAGAGGGGTAGTGGTTTTAAAAAGAAGCATTCTTGTCTGGTTATCATTGGCATCTTTAAGTGAATTCAAACCATGTTTTCCTAATAGGTGAAGAGGCCAGAAAGGTCTATGATGATGCCCAGAACATGCTAAACACACTGATTAGTCAAAAGAAACTCCAAGGCAGGGGCATCGTTGGATTCTGGCCAGCACAGAGTGTCCAAGATGATGTCCACCTGTATGCAGAGGATGCAGTGCCCCAGGCAGCAGAGCCCATAGCCACCTTCTATGGGTTGAGGCAACAGGTATGAAGGGCATATTGACAGTGAGCTCATTGTGTTTGCTTTTTTGATTTCAACACTAAAAATGTCAATGAGAATTAAATAAGAAGCTTGAGATTTGTATAAAGGTTAGAGTCTGCTCCACTTCATCCCCAACAGCCAGTCACAGGCCCATGCCCAAAGCATTTGTGAGGGTGATGGAGAGCAGGCTCCAGCATGGGTGTCAGAGGCAGGGCCTCCCAGGCGCCAGCAGTAGTGAGGCAGTTACCATTGTATTTGCAGATGGACTGCTGAGTTGCTGTTGCTTCCATGGACACACCCATGTTCTCAGTTGTCTTATTCTCTGAAGCAACAGAACATTTACTTGTTCAAGAGCACTGGTTTGCATCTGTGTATTTTTAAAATAGACTGGTGGCTGCCTTTCTCCAGGGAAGGCAGGCAAAAACTAACAGTGGCTGAATGTGTGCCAGATACCAGTTGCTAAGAGGGTGCTTGATGACCCATCCTGTTTGAGTCCCACACAGCCCTTTGGTTAGCAGTGTGCTGCCATGGCACAGATGAGTAAATGAAAGCTGATAGAGATGGTGCTGTGTTCCATGGCTTGTAGGGGCGAGCCCTGCCTGTGTGCATCCCCATGGCTGTTCTTTTACTACCCTGGCCTCCTTTGGGTTGGAGAGAACAGGCTCTTCTCAGCACAGCTCCTTTCATGTCCCCTTCTTTAAAAGCACAAATAGCATATGTGGGTCCCTTTAATTGCTGTAAAAAATAGTTGTTCTAGACTGGCGCCACGGCTCACTAGGCTAATCCTCCACCTTGCGGCGCCGGCACACTGGGTTCTAGTCCCGGTCAGGGCGCCGGATTCTGTCCCAGTTGCCCCTTTTCCAGGCCAGCTCTCTGCTGTGGCCAGGGAGTGCAGTGGAGGATGGCCCAAGTGCTTGGGCCCTGCACCCCATGGGAGACCAGGAGAAGTACCTGGCTCCTGCCATCGGATCAGCGCGGTGCGCCGGCTGCAGCATGCCGGCCGCGGTGGCCATTGGAGGGTGAACCAACGGCAAAGGAAGACCTTCCTCTCTGTCTCTCTCTCTCACTGTCCACTCTGCCTGTCAAAAAAAAAAAAAATAGTTGTTCTAATCAAGAATTGGAACCAGAATTCACCAGACTTATGGGCAAGTTAATTTCCAATAAATTATTCTTTCAGTTTTATCACTGTTTTCAGAAGGGATAGTATTGCTTTTGGTCACCACCACAGTATCATTCACAGTGACAGGTATTTTGACCATAACAATGTCTGAAGGGACTCTTCAACTGGGTGCCTTGAACAGTACCATAAAGAATTCAGTGAGGACAGCTACATCCTTATTGCTCACATTCAGGCTCTTACTGTATGCACCCAGACTTGGATACCCCAGGATATAAGCAGCAGGGTTCCAGGGTTAGATTTCAGCCCCTCTTCACTAGGGAATTGGTGACTCTTACCTGGTTGTAACTAAGGTCCAAAACTGCTGCTTTGGCTAAGCCTTTCATTTTTCAAGTCTGAGTCCTCTCCTGATCTCTCTTTACTTCCAGTGGCATTCATGTCTGGGCAGTCTGTGACATACTCTATTTGAGCGTGAACTGTAATGAATTCTCAGAGTTTGCCTTTGTAAGTCTCTGGAAAGGGGTACTGGACTGTGCACATAGATGACCTAATCAGATTTTTCTAAGGGCATGTCTTCTCCAGTACCCTCTGGGAAATTCTAGCTGCCGTGCCTGATTACTGTGGCAGTCTTTGTTCTGAGTAGGCTATGATTGCTGTTTCCTCATAGGTGCCACAGGATTCCATGACCTGTTCCTTCCTTGCTGCTGGGAAGCTTTGTAGCCCTGGTAGCCCCTGTAGTTTTGTTAGCAAAACACAGTGGAAGGGCAGAGTACAACTGGAAATGGCCCCTCCACACACAGCTGCCCCTGAGCTCCATGACATTTACCTACGCTGTTATCAAACACCTCCTGGCCTGTAGCACCCAATGATTTTCTGTCCAGTGTCAATTAAGCTGTTCTTGCTTCCATGGCCAAAAAATAGCTCCAAAGCTTCTGTAATGGCCACAAACTGATTAACTGATTAGTCCCCCGAAGAAGGAGTTTCTGTTGTGGTATGGCTCCCTGATTCTGAGCTAGTTGATCAGTCTCTGTGTGCCTCAGGTTTCTTGTCTGTAAAATGGACCTGATGGTATTATGTACTTCAGAAGACTGTTGTGAGAGTTAAATTAGTAATTTGTATAGAGCACGTACAGCAGGCCTAGAGTGAGCACTTGATAAATATTAGTTGTAAGTTGTTTGCCTTCTCAGCAAATATTTACTGATGGTCTTTTTTTTAAATCATAACCAGGACCTAAGTATTAATTCCTAATGTGCTAAAGAACTTCAAACTTTCATAGTATTGCTCTTAATTTGAACACTTGCATGATTTTTATTTCTTGATATTACCATTGTCTAAATGTAAGCAAAGCATTATCTTAGATAGTGATTTCTCTAGGATAAACTAATGATAATCCAAAAGGCCAGCAATTTCTAAGTTTACATTCAATTCCATGACTTAAAATTTCCATATAAAGGTTTGGGAATTAACAAGCTCAAAGATACATCTACTAAAAAATCTATCTAATATAATTTTTGGTATCAAGTTAACATAAATATGTAATATGTACTTGTAAGAATGACATTGTATTTTTTTCCCCAAAGAAACCTTTTATATAAGGAATACAAATTTCCTAAGTACAACTTTAGTAATATAGTGATTCTTCCCATCATACCCACCCTCCCATCCACACTCCCACTCCTCCTTCTCCTTCCTCTCCCATTCCCAATCCCATTCTCCACTAAGATTCATTTTCAATTAACATTATACATAGAAGACCAACTCTATATTAAGATTTCAACAATTTACACACACACACACACACACACAAAAGAACTTTGAGAACAAGTTTCACAGTTAACTCTCCTAATACAACTCATTGAGGACAGAAGTCCTGCACGGGAAGTCAGTGCACAGTGACTCCTATTGTTAATTTAACAATTAATGCTCTCATGTATGATGCCCGTGATCACCTGAGGCTTTTGACATGATCTGCTAAGGCTAATCCACTACCTCTGTCAGTATTTAGACAAGGCCATAAGGAAAGTGGAAGTTCTCTCTTCCCTTTAGAGAAAAGTAAATCCTTCTTTGGCCACTTAAAAAAAAAAAAGATCTATTTATTTATTTGAAAATCAGAGTTACACAGAGAGAGGAGAGAGAGAGAGAGAGAAAGAGGTTTGCTATTTGATGGTTCACTCTCCAATATGGTTCACTCTCCAATTGGCGGCAATGGTCAGAGCTGTGCTGATCCGAAGCCAGGAGTCAGTAGCTTCTTCCAGGTCTTCCACACGAGTGCAGGGGCCTAAGGACTTTGGGCCATCTTCTAGTGCTTTTCCAGGATGGCCACTTCTTTCCGCTGAGGTCTTACTCACAGAGATCCTTCTTGTAGGACATTTTGTTGCCAAAGTGTCTTGGCTTTCCGTGCCTTAAATACTCTCATGGGCTTTTCAGACAGGCCAGAATGCCTTAAGGGCTGATTCTGAGGTCAGAGTGCTGTTTAAAGTGATTGTCATTCTATAAATCTGCTGTGTGGACTGCTTCCCATATTGGAACATTCTCTCCCTTTTAATTCTGTTGTTATTACCAGACACTCGATCCTATTTATATGATCCCTTTAACACTTAATCCTATCTATATGTTCCTTTAACACTTCATATGATCACTTTAACACTTAAGATGCCATTTTTACCACCCAGCTTAATGGGATTTGGGGTCCCATGACAAGTTTTTAAACTGTACCCTTAGAAGTAAGTCCATAGGGATGTATGCAAAACTGTACAGCTTTACAGCTACCAACTTCCACCTCCCTGCCTTATTCCCATTTTTATTTTTTACTGAGATATATTTTCAATTGGCTTTATACACATATGAATAAGTTTATGTTAAGTAAAGCATTCAACAAATAGTATGAAGGAAAAAAAAACTGCTCCTTGAAAGTCAAGACAAGGGCTATTCAAGTCATTGCTTCTTGTGGTATCAATTTCTCTTCTACAGATTTCCTTTTTGGTGCTCTATTAGTTATCATGGATCAGGGAGAACAAATAATATTTGTCCCTCTGGAACTGGCTTATTTCACTGAGTGTGATGTTTTCCAGATGCATCCATTTTGTTGCAAATGACTGGATTCCTTTTTTTTTTTTTTTTTTTTTTTACTGTGTGTACTATTCTGTTCCATACTGTGCATATCCCATACTTTCTTTATCCAGTCTTTAGTTGACAGGCATTTAGGTTGATTCCATGTCTTAGCTATTGTGAATTGAGCTGCAATAAACATGGGGGTGCTGATAACTCTTTTATTTACTGATTTTGTTTCCCTTGGGTAAATTCCCAGGAGTGGGATTGCTGGGTCGTATGGTAGGTCAATATTCAGATTTCTTTTTTTTTTTTAAAGATTTATTTATTTATTTGAAAGTCAGAGTTAACGCAGAGAGAGGAGAGGCAGGGAGAGAGAGAGGTCTTCCATCTGACGGTTCACTCCCCAGTTGGCCGCAATGGCTGGAGTTGTGCCGATCTGAAGCCAGAAACCAGGAGCTTCTTCTGGGTCTCCCACGTGGGTACAGGGGCCCAACACTTGGGCCATCTTCTACTGCTTTCCCGGGCCATCCGGTCCCAGGCTTTCCTTTTTTGGGAGGGTCTTTATTACTGATTCAATTTCTGTCTTGGTTATGGGTCTGTTTTCGGTGTCTTCATGGCTTAATTTAGGTAGGTTGTATCTGTCTAAGAATCTATCTTCTAGCTTTCCCAGTTTGTTGGCCTACAACTCTTTGTAGTAATTTCTGTTGATTCCTTTTATTTCTGTGGTGTCAGTTTTTACATTTCCTTTTTCAGCTCTAATTTTATTGGTATGGGTCTTCTCCCTTCCTTTTTAGTTAGTTGGGCAGTGGTGTGTCAATTTTGTTTATTTTTTCAAAAAACCAGCTCTTCATCTTGCTGATCTTTTTATAGTTTTTTTGGTTTGAATTTTGTTGATTTCTTATCTAATTTTAATTATTTCTTTTCTCCTATGAGTTTTGGGTTGGGTTTGCTGTTGTTTTTCTAGATCCTTGAGATGCAGTGATAGCTCATTTATTTGGTGCCTTTGTAATTTCTTGATGTAGGCACCTATTGCTATAAACTTTCCTCTTAACACTGTTTTTGCTGTCTCCCATAAGTTTTTATATGTTGTATTGTCATCTTCATTTGTTTCCATAAATTTTTTGATTTCTGTTTTGATTTCTTTTATGACCCACTGTTCATTCAGGAGCGTGTTGTTCAGTTTCCAAGTATTAGCATATGTTCTAGAAATTCCTAAGTTACTGATTTCCAGCTTCATTGTATTGTTGTCTGAGAAGATGCATGATATGATTTTGATTTTTTTGAATTTGTTGAGACTTGGTTTGTGGCCTAGCATGTAGTGAATCCTAAAGAAAGTTTCATGCACTGGTGAGAATGTGTTTTCTGCAAGTGTAGGATGAAAAGTTCTGTAGATATCTGTTACGTCCATGTGGTCTATTAGTGTCAGTTAACTCTGTTATTTCCTTGCTGATTTTCTGTCTGATTGACCTATCCATTGCTGAAAGTGGGGTATTGAAGTCCCCTTTTACTAGCGTATTTGAGTCTATGTCTTTCTTTAGATTCTTTAGTATTTCCTTGTAAATAGCCAGGTGCCCTATAATTAGGTATATAAATGTTTATAATAGTTACATCTTCCTCTTGAATTAATCTCTTAATCATTACATAGTGCCATTCCTTATCTCTTTTAACAGTTTTCCTGTTAAAGTCTATTTTGATGATATTTAGATGGCTACATCACCCCCCCCCCCCCTTATTTTTTGGTTCCTGTTAGCATGAATATCTTTTTCCATCTTTTCACTTTCAGTCTGTGTGCATCTTTGTTGGTGAAATGTGTTTCTTGTAGGCAGCAAATAGATTTTTTTTTAAATCTATTCAGCCAATCTGTGTCTTTTAACTGGGAGAGTCAAGGCCATTTACAATCAAGGTGACTATTGATAAGCAATGACTTTACCCTGCCATTTATCCAAAAATATTCCTATTTTTTACTTTGAATTTCCCTTATACCTTTACTGGGAGATTTCCTTCCTTTACCTTCTTTCATAGTGATGACCATATTTCTGTGTACAGGTGTAGCACATCCTTAAGCATCTTTTGCAGGGCTGGACAGATGGTGACAAATTCTTTCAATTTCTGTTTGTTATGAATGGTCTTTATTTCACTTTCATTCATAAATCAGAGTTTTCCAGGTATAGTATTCTGGGTTGACAGTGTTTTCCCTTAAGACTTGGACTATATCTCACCATTCTCTCCTATCCTGTAGGGTTTCTGATGAGAAGTCTGCTGTGAGTCTAATTGGAGATCCTCTGAAAGTAATTGCATTTCTGTTGTGCATATTTTAGAATCTTTTCTTTATATATTACCATGGAGAGTTTGATTATAGTATGTTGTGTTGAAGATCGTTTCTGGTCATGTCTATTAGGAGTTCTGTGTGCTTCCTGTACTTGGATATCCCTTTCGTTCTCCAAATTAGGGAAGTTTTCTGTTATTGTTTCACTAAAAAGGCCTTCTAATCCTCTCTCTCTTTCCATGCCTTCAGGAACTCCTAAAACCTCTATGTTGGTTGTTTGATAATATCCTATAGATTACCAATGATGTTCTTTAGTTTTCTAATTTCTTATTTTTGCTCTGAATGTATAATTTCCTTTGCTTTTTTTCCTAAGTCGGATATTCTTTCGTCTGCTTCACCGATTCTGTTGTTAAGGTTTTCCACTGTGTTTTTTATTTGTCCTATTGAATTCTTCAATCCTAAGATTCATTTTGATTTCTCTTTAAGATATCAATTTTGTGGGAGAAATTTTCTTTCATGCCATGTATGGATTTCAGTAGTTCATGTATTTGCTTCTGATTACTTCTATGTAATCTTACAATGAATTTTTTGAATTCCATTTCTGGCATTTCTTCAATCTCATCATCTTCACAATCTAGTATTGAAGTGTTGTGTTCTTTTAGTCATGTTATCTTCCTTATTCTTGTTTCTTGAATTGTTGCATTTGGTATTCGGCATTTGTGGTGATACTTGTTGTTTTCTTCTTTCTTTTTTCACTGTGGCGGCTTTTATTTTTGTACTGTTCCTCTGTAAATTAGTGGAGTGTCTGCTTTCAGTGAATACCTAGAGACATGTAGTGGCCCTGCCCAGATGAGCTCCTCTCCTCAAAGGAGACCAGTGCCCCAGTGCTAGCCACAGTGACTATAATATTTGTCCACTCTGCTCCAAGAACCACACAAAGGATCTGTGTAGTCCTCAGTGTAAGCTCAGATTCCCAGCAATCTCCCCCACCAGGTAACCAGGGGGCCCTGAGTGTGTGGAGCCTCCCACAGTGACTGCCCCAAGCCCCAGCCATACCATAAGCCTTCCCACACAGCCTCAGTTTTTTCAAAGTCCTGGCACACAAGCCTTCCACAGTCATGAGCACCCAGCTCCTATTAGTTCTCCCCATCATACTCAGAGTCTGCACTCAGCTGATTGCTGGGTGTGGACATGAGCTGGCACAGCTGTTATGTATGTCCAAAATGGCACCCACTTTCTATTGGCTTCTTACAGGATGCTTTTGCATGTTGATCAGGAAAAAGAAATGTGCCCTTCTTTTTTTTTTTCTCCTCTAGTTTGGCAGGTACACTATCCTCCATGGGGCTCCAAGCCGAGTTCCCTGTAGTTTCTTCCTGCAGCTTTATCACCCGTAGCTTGGGCTACTTCAGTCTAGTCTCACTTCACTCTCCAAGGCTGGTATGGAGGTTCTCAGCTGCTGGGGTCCTGAGTTATTGGCATCCATGCCCTTCACGTAGGTCCACAGTGTCCCTCCTATTTGCATAGAGTTTCCTCTGTCATTTCTCCTTAACTCTTCCCTGAGACTGCACTCTCTCCACTTTTTTTAAACTGTCTTCTCCTAGACTAGAGCAGTAAGCTCCCTCCCTACTCCACCATCTTAATCCCCTCACTGATGGTCTTAACATGAAAGAACTTCAGAAAGTTCATGGAAAATGCACATTATGAAAAAATTGCATGGATTTCTTTTTTTTACACCAAAACAAACTTATTTATTTGAAAGGTAGAGTGAGAGAAAGAGACAGAGAGAAGGAGATATCTCTCTACTGTTTCACTCCCCAGATGGCCACAAAGGCTGAGTCTGGGCCAGCTTGAACCCAGAAGCTTCATCTTGGTTTCTCACATGAGTGGGGGGAGGCATCTTCTATCTTTTCCCAAGTGCATTAGCAGGAATCTGGATCAGGTGTAAAGCAGCCAGGACTTGAGCCAACACTCTGATATGGGATGCTAATGTTTTAAGTGGTGGTTTAACCTACTGTGCCACAATGCTAACTAAACTTTTCTTTTAATTCCATTTTCCCATGTATGCATCAGACCTTATTTGTCAGCTTAGTAGCGGGGAAAAGTTAGTTATCAGCTGATTGGCAAGGAAGGCACATGGGATTTTGGAGTGAATCTAAAGCAAATCCTGCTGAATTATTGATTAGGTTTAAGGATGATTCCCTAGGTGCCTTTGCTATCTCCTGTACCATCACCAGTGGCAGGCAGCACATGACCCATGTATTGTAGACTTCAGTAGTTTAGCTGCTTCTGTTGATGCAAAATGGAGGCTTATACATTTAGTGCACCCCTTTCAAACAAAGCACTTGGATTCAATCTGAATTGAAAATCTTTTTTGAGAAAACAGTTTTTAAAAATAGGTGATTGGGGGCCAACGTTGTAGCATAGTGAGTAAAACTGCTACCTGTGATGCATGGCATCCCATTTGGATGCTGGTTTATGTCCTGGCTGTTTCATTTCCAATCCAGCTCCCTGCTAATGGCCTGTGAAAAGCAGCAGAGGGTGGCCCAAGTGCTTGGGCCCCTGCCACCTATGTGGGAGATGTGGAAGAAGCTCCTGGCTCCTGGCTTTGGCCTTGTTCAACCCTGGCCATGGTGGCCATCTGGGAGAGTGAACCAGCAGATGGAAGATATCTCTGTCTCTCTGTCTCTCTCTCTCTCTCATTCTCTCTCTCTTTCTCCTCCTCTATCTCTGGAACTCTGACTTTCAAATAAATAATAAATCTTACAAAAAATAGATTTTGGGGATCAGGGTGTAGCTGTTTGGCACAGAGCTTAGGATGCTGCTTGGAATGCCATATCCTATAATGGAATGCCTGGGTTTGAGTCCTGGCTCTTCTTCTGATTCCAGCTTCTTGCTAACATACTTCCTGGGAGGCAGCAGGTAATGGCTGATGTACTTGTGTACCTGCCATTCATCTGGAATATCTAGACTGAGATTTGAGCCCTGGCTTCAGCTTGGCTCAGCCCTGGCTGTTGTAGGCATTTGGAGAATGAATCAGTGGTATGGAAAAATCTCTCTGTTTCTCACTGCCTTTCAAATAAAATTAAAATAGGTAAATTTTTTAAAAGGTGATAGTTTAAGGTTCTAGTTCCTAGCACAGAGCCTGTAGGCATTCAGCATATCCTAGGTTATTGTGTGAATGAGCCATGTATGTTATGTCATATATATTTTTTAAATCTCATTTCATTTCTTTATTCAGCAGTATTTACTGACAACTCAGTATGTATCAAGTACTATTCTTAGTGAACTCATCAGGCAGACATCCCTGTGTCACGAAGCTTGGATTCCTTTGAGTATCTCAGATTGCTTTCCACTGTCTTCTGATTTAATGTCCATGCTAACAGCCCCTTCTGCCCATGTTTGGGTTTTAAGGCTGAGAAGGACTCTGCCAGCACTGACCCGTACCACTGCCTCGCGGACTTCATTGCTCCTTTACATTCTGGAATCCGTGACTACCTGGGCCTGTTTGCTGTTGCCTGCTTTGGGGTGGAAGAGCTGAGCAAGGCCTATGAAGATAATGGTGATGACTACAGCAGCATCATGGTCAAGGCACTGGGGGATCGGCTGGCAGAGGTGAGACTACGACAGTGCACTGAGGCAGGGTCCAGGTGGTGGGGAGCCCATGAGAGGTGCCAGAAAACTGATCAGCCATGTGAACCAGTGTCCTTTATTTACTTTGAGTCACATGCTTCTGGCTTTACCATTACACATACTTTTTGGCAAAAAAGAACCTTCCAGCTTGCCATAGTTGGCTGTTGTCCTTACAGCTTCGACCTTTTTGCCTTATCTCTGATGACTTCTATTGTGTTGTCTGTTGTGATGTACTCCAAAAAATTAAAAACAGATTTCTGTTTGAGGGCCTCTCATTCTAATGTTATTTTCTGTAGATTCTTTATCATCCTCTGCATGGAATGTGATATCTGAGGCTTAGGGGAGATATTCTTCTTGTGGTGAACAGTGGAAGAAGTAGCAGCTGGTTTTTATAATGAAACGGGTTTATAGTTCCTCTACTGCTTTTTTTAGCCATTGCAACTACAGACTGACCTTCAGGGAAATCTTTAAGTTAAAAGGCCTAGCATCCCCAGGTCATTAAATATAACACTTCAAAACTCAGGTTGAGGCCAAAATTGAGCTGCTTAGCAGCTAATGAAGGTACAAACAAATCAAGAATCTAGCCTGAGGTCTCCTCTTGACAGGTTTGCCTGGCCTGGCTATGGTCCAGGTGAGAGGCTGCTCTGGCTGACTTTGATTCAGTGGGTGGAGGCCACGCTGATGCTCTGAGCTCCTTGCTCTGCCTGACCACACTGGGTGCTCTGGGTTTCCAGGCCTTTGCAGAAGAGCTCCATGAAAGGGTTCGCAGAGAATTGTGGGCTTACTGTGGCAGTGAGCAGCTGGATGTTGCAGACCTGCGCAGGCTACGGTATGAGGGCATCCGCCCAGCTCCTGGCTACCCTAGCCAGCCTGACCACACTGAGAAGCTCACCATGTGGAGACTTGCCAACATCGAGGAGTCCACAGGTGTGTACCGGGAAGTGGTGGGCTCCTGTCTTTCCTTACTTCTTAAGTAAACTTTAATAAAAGTAATGGCATGTATGATTAAAATTTTTAAAAAATAAGAAGGGTTTATAATTAAATCATCCCTTGTCCTTTCTCACTTAGCTGTTTCTTCTAATCTTTTACTCTCGTGTTAATAGTATTCTTATAGCACCATTTTTGGATTTATCAGCTTGAATTATTTCCTCTTAACCTGTAACAGAAATTTAGCTTACTTATACCAACTCATGTTATTGGTGCACTAGTGTCTTCATCCCTCCCTTGGAGGCTGTCCTTTGTCCTGTCTGAAATTTCACCTGCCTCATGCTCTTAACGCTTGTTAATTGTGTCTTTGGACATTAGTCTTGCAGAACTCCCAACTTTTCCTTCCTCTTTTCTCTTTACTTTTACACTTTTATTAAGATTTGTGGTCTTGTGTTATCATAATTTCTCTTAGGTTTTGTCTGTGTGTTGATTTGATCATTGAAAATGAACAATTACTGTGTGCCTTTTTGAGACAAAGACCAGGGCACCCATCCTTAGTGTCGTGGGCCCAAGGTAGAATTGCTCATGGTTCTGTGTAGGTTGTTGCGTGCATGTGCCCATTCTAGTCCTTACTGCATGGTTGCTGTAGCTGAGGTGATCCAGGCTAAGTTCATAGTTTTTAGTGGACTTAATTAAGAGTATGATACCAAAGCTGACAAAGGAATGTGTATTTAAATGAGGAGCTGTCAGCTCTGTTGAATCTGCATCAGCAGGAACAACAACTGATTCCAGGAGTCATGAGTCTGGGTTCAAGTACCCTAGCCCATAAGCTAGCTGGGTCACCTTTGGCAAGTCACTCAGTCTTGTTCAGTTTTCTTGTCCACAACATGAGTGGCGTAGAAGATACAGTCTTTCGGCCGGCGCCGCGGCTCAACAGGCTAATCCTCCACATAGCGGTGCTGGCACACCGGGGTTCTAGTCCCAGTCGGGGCGCCGGATTCTGTCCCGGTTGCCCCTCTTCCAGGCCAGCTCTCTGCTGTGGCCTGGGAGTGCAGTGGAGGATGGCCCAAGTGCTTGGGCCCTGCACCCATATGGGAGACCAGGAGAAGCACCTGGCTCCTGGCTTCGGATCAGCGTGGTGCGCCGGCTCTGGAGGTCATTGGAGGGTGAACCAACGACAAAAGGAAGATCTTTCTCTCTCTCTCACTGCCCACTCTGCCTGTCAAAAAAAAAAAAAAAAAAAAAAGATACAGTCTTTCTTGGTCCCTTTGAGTTCTCAGATCTCAGTAGAAAATGTCTCATCTTTCCCAGTGCTATTGTAGGCTCGTGCTTCACTATAAACGAGTCTTGGTCATTCCTAGTGTCAGTAGCTCACAGAACCTGTGGAGAGCTGTTTAGATGGTGCTCTCATCTCCTGGGCCTCAGAAGGCCCAGGCTTAGGAGCAAACAAATTGGGGTAGCAAATATGGAGATAAAGGATCTTGGACGACTAGGTTAAGAGTAAAGAGAGTCTTTTCCAGGTTTGCCCCCATGGATTAGAGGAGACCTGCAGGTCCTGAATTTGTTTATGGATCTGGCAAGAATTTGCTAGACTTGTCTGTCACTTTCATGCTGTGCTGTGTGTCTGCTGAGTTCACTTTTATCCACTTGTTCAAGGAGAGTTCATTGAGTGCTTGCCAACTGCTAGGCCCTGTGCTATGCACTGAGTCAGTAAGCATTTTCCTCTGTGTTGCTCTCTTTAGGCATTAAGCTAACAGAATCATTAGCCATGACACCTGCTTCAGCGGTATCAGGTCTCTACTTCTCCAACTTGAAGTCCAAATATTTTGCTGTGGGGAAAATTTCCAAAGATCAGGTAGGTTACATTGTGTGTGGCTTCCTTAGATGCTTATTTTGTTTTAAATGGAATTCTAGAGCCTATTTGTTGTGAATGTGAACGTGAATAAAATGAATGAGTGGGGAAAGGATAAGAAATTTGTTCCAGTTAATGTCTTAATTTGGTTTTAATCCACTACACCAATTCTGGCTCTCCCCCACACACGTGTGCACAGACACAGACACACACCCAGTACACACACAAAGTTTCTAAGTATCAGATATTTACTGTGTGTTTTCCTGCCCAGAAAACAAGGCAACTTGGTGGGCAGATAAATATCTGTCTCCCTGTAGCTCAGTAGATTATTATTGTTAAGACAAGAAGTGGAAGGTACTTAATGTTTTTTTGCAGAACCTGTGAAAATTTGGTTCAAAAAGTCTTATCCCTTTGGTTTAATACACTCTTTGTAATCTTTTGCAGATTGAGGATTATGCTCTGAGGAAGAACATGTCTGTGGCTGAGGTTGAGAAATGGCTTGGACCCATTCTGGGATATGATACAGACTAACTTTTTTTTTTTTTTTTTTAACTTTTCTATACTTGATGATCCATAAGGAAATATAAATCCATAGTGCCTTAAAAACCATGAGTAACAATGAGCCTGTGTACCTTGGGTTAACAGTGCCCTGCTGCTGCCTTTGGAAGACTTTGGTGTAACACTTTAGGGGCAGCAGGATCTTCCTATAGTATCTGGAAAACAAGTTCTGTTCTTGGGGGATCTTGAATGAAGAGCAGCAAGCAAAGCTCTGATGGTGTCTCTGCTCCCTTGGGACAGGCTGGAGCTGGAGGTCTTTTGCATTTCAAAGCAAGTCAGCCTACTTTTTTCCATTTTTACCTTGGATCTAAGCAGCCACTTATTTCTCTTTTTTATTTTTTCTTAGGAAAGAAAGCCTGAAACTCAGTTGAATAGAGAATTGTATAGAGAAATGTGACCCTGTGGCAAAATGACACTGTGTGAGAAATGGGGCATTTTAATCTAAGTGGTTACAACTGAAGACTCTGACAGGCAAGAAAGTACAACCCTGCTCTCTCTCCCTGGAAGACCTCATTTTCTAAAGGCTCGATTAAATGGTTGCAGAACTCCCTTTGGCAAAAAGTATGCTCTCACTGCTTGCCTGTCAGAAATACTCACACTGTTTGCCCTAGTGTGGTCAAGTACAGCCAGGTTCTCTCCAAGCATTTTGTCCTCCCATAGTTTCATATTCCCCTGCCCTAAGAGGGAGAAAAAAATGAGATAGGGACAGAGAGTGTTTGCTATGGGTGGTTAACATCTTTTAGTCATTTTCAGAATTTAGCAGGTTCTTGGCTGAGCTGTGGTGTCATGTACAGAATTGGACAGGTGGACATTGTAATGCCACTCAGTTCTTCATTTCTCTGTTGTCCCAGCTCTAAACTTAGACAGTTGAAGAATAGCTCACTGATTTGTGTTTTAAGGGAAATTATTAAGAACATGGACTTTGAAGTCAGACATACTTAGATTCAGGTTTCAGCTTTGCCACTTAAATACCGAGTGAAGTTGGTAAATTCCTTAAGCTTCCCAACACCATTTTCTCATGTGCAAAATGATAACAGTGCTATTAGTCTGTATCTTACGGCATGAGCTGCAGGTTAAACAATGATGCCCAGGACATTTAACATGGTATCTGGTAAACAGTATCTGCTTAATAAATGGAAGCTTCTGTAGAGCTCTGTTGGTGGCCCCTCAGACTCAGAGCATAGTAGGAGCTCATGGAAACGAATATAAGAGATCAGTGGATTTGAAAAAACAGTGGGGAAATGCATGTCGTCATGACTAGATTGAATATGCTAGGTACCATTCTTTTTAGGATTAAAATACGATATAACACTGACTGGGACAGAGAAGCTACCTCCTATGCCACCAACACCATTGATGCTCATTGGAGTGACCACCCTTCTCCCTCACCTCTTGTGATATATACCTGCCTTGCCCTGAGAGCAGTAATATCAGCTGTGCATGCAGGCACAGTGGAGGGAAAGGGGGAAAAAGAACTTGGGAAGTGGCCATTCTACATATCCATAGTGGATATACATTTTTCTTGCAGAATAGCATGCATTTTCAGCATTGCTTGCCCTTAAGAATTGTGTTCTGTCTTTCGTACATTTAACTTGTGCTGAATAGAGACTTGAACCTCATGTCCTGAGACACTTCTTTGGTGGATTTGTCTTAGTTGATGCCTCTTGCATGGCAAATATGTTATTTAGATGTTGTTACATTCTTCTATGAGAAGAAATAACTTCAAATATCTTAGTGTGTTTTATCTGAACGGTAACTAGGAGTCTCCTGATTTCATTAAATATTTATAATATCTTTTCTTGGCTGGTTGTGAGATGGAATGATTTCCTTAAGTGGGTTGTTTTAATCACAATTTGAATATCTTTTTTCTTAAAAACAAAAGCAGTTTGTGCAAGTCCACATACCTATATATTAATGAACAAAGATGAACTACAACTTGAAAACATCCTCCTTGGTTTATTTTAGGTATGCCAGAAATACAGAACTTTGAAAGCAGGTAGTAAACTTTCTGAACCCAGGGTCTTCACACTGGTGATTGCACACCCAGAACCTGTCTGTATCATCATCTGTGACTGTGACATAAACTTACTCTCTTTGCTTCCAGGTTTGTTTTTATTTTTCTCTCTAAAGAAACATATTTGGAATCATACCTACTCTGTTGCTTCTTCTGCAGTCTGTACTGAGAAGGTTGATTTGTGGGGTGATGGTTGAGATCAGGGTTTATTACACCCTATTTCCCCTTTGCACTCCTATGCTAGAGGCCATCCTCCATGCACAGGTGAACTCAGAGTGTAGTTAACCTGCTTTAATTTCTCTTAGGCATGCCCTCAGTGAGTATCTGAGTGCCTGCCTTCCGCCAGTTACCTTCTCCCATTCTCTCCCTAATCCAGTGAAGTTAGGTTTCTATACCCATCCTTCCTGGTACCAATGACTTCTATTTATTAGATCCAGTGGACTTTCTGATGCCTAGCTTTTTAATTTTTTCTCTGTGATTTTGGACAGTATTAACCCCTTAAAAACCCTCCTTTCCCCATTCTCCTTGACAGTAATCTGTTGGTTAACCTTCCACGTTTCTGATAAGTTCATAGCCCTTTTCATGGTTTTCTCTTGTTCTACTCACTTGTATCTTCATGTCCCTGAAGATTTGCCATTAGTTGCTTTATTAGTCTGGATAGTGTCAGTGGGCAGTCTCATCCAGTCATCATCTCCAGGGAGCTCCATCTGGATTCTTGTCTGTTGAAGAACATAATTTATAATCCAGCAGCTCCTCCAGGAGGATGTGCAGACATCACAAAGCCATCGTACCCCAAGCCACTGTCATCTTATTTTTCTTCAATTCTTGATGTATGCAATAATAAATAATGGTACCACCACCTAAGTAGCAACCTCAGGCTCACCCTATATCTTTCCTGGAGTATTACAGTTATCTCAAAAACTGGCACAATAAAAACATACTTATTCTATGTTAGCTGGGTTGGTGGTAGACATACTCAGGGAAAGCAGTAGTTGAGACCTGATTTGGGACTTGAAGGGTATAGATCAAGAAGCAGGAAGGGTGGGGGGATGCAAAGAAAAAACAGTCTATTAGGGATTAATGAGGTATCCTGTCTCCCCAAATTGATCTGTAGGTTTAATGCCATTTCCAACAGAAATTCCAACAGAGCTTATGGTAACATGCAGATATTTAAGTTTATGTGGAACAGCAAAAAACTAAGAATGGCCAAATGTTTCTAAGAATGTAGAAGCTGAAGGAACTTAAGCGATAATTAAGTTTTGTTGGGGGTTGGTATAATACCTGTTTATAGAGGTAGGCGATCTGAATGGTGGAACAAAATGAGGAGCCTGGAAACTAACCCGTGCATATGTTGACCTTTGCCATGAAAGTGGCTTGGCACTTGAGTGGGGACAAAATAGTAGCAGTACGGGATCCTCCATGGGGGGAAAATAAATTCCATTTTTGAGCAACATCAATTCCAAGAGTTTTAGCACAAAAAGCAAAAGTTGTAAATGTGTTAAAAAAATCACTTTTGAGCAGGAAAGAATCTTTTGAGACATAAAGCAGTGCCCATGAAAGAAATGATAATTAAATCAGCTCTTAAAACTGAGGACTTAACATTAAGCAAATCAACAATTTAAGTGAGAAGATAGGCTATGACTTGAGAATACCTATGTAGAAGACAAATAATATAGAGAGAATTTGTGTTTTAAAAAATTCATAGAAAACATTGGAAGAGGCATTTCACAGAAGAGAAAATATCTAGGGATTATAAACTAGTAGAAAGATATCCCACAGCATTTGTGATCGTTAAAATATGAGTCGAGATCACAATGAGATTCTATTGTACATCCTGCAGACTTTGCAAACTTTGGATCCAACAGTACCAGGTGTTAAAGAAGATCTATGGGAACTCCATTTGTTGTTACAGGTGTGGGTGTATAAATCATGGCTTTAGTAAATTATACTTCAAAGCTGGAAGTTTGCAGCCCTAATGATCTAGCTTCTGAATTCCAGTTGTGTCTAATAGATTTGCATGTGGCCTCCAGGTGGTATGTGCAAGAATATTGATAGTAATATATTCATAAAGGTTATTGGAAAATGAAATATATATTTGGATACAATATAATGGGTAAAAAAATTAGGTATATTCACCCTAAGGGATATTCAGTAGTGAAAATTAGGAACTACTTTATACCTCACAATAAGGATGAATCTCAGAAAATATTATGGGGGGCCCAGCACTTTGGTGTAGTGGGTAAAGCCGATGCCTGCAGTGCTGGCATCATCTGGGTGCCAGTTCAAGACCTGCCTGCTCTTCTTCTGATCCAGCTCTCTGCTATGGCCTGGGAAAGCAGTAGAAGATGGCCCAAAAGCTCGGGCCTCTGCACCCTCGTGAGGAACCCTAAAGAAGCTCCTGGCTTCAGATCGCCCATCTTCAGCCATTGCAACCATTTGGGGAGTGAACCAGTGGATCTCTTGTTTTTTCTCTCTCTCCCTCTGCCTCTCTGTAACTCTGCCTTTCAAATAAATAAATAAATCTTTAAAATAAATATTAAGGGAAAACACCCAAGTTCCAGGAGACCACATATTGTATGGTACTATTTTTATTGAGCTCAAAAACAAGCTAAACCAAAGAATGTATTGTCTTAAGTATACATATGTGATAAAGCTATGTTGTAAAAAAAAAAAGCAACAGTAATAAACCAATGTTTAGCATAGTTGATTCCCTATGGAAGAAGAAAGTGGAAGAGACAGAGGAACACATAGGTTGATGCAGGTTATGAGGAATGTTCTATTTCTTAGGTGATAGGATTATGTGTGTTTGCTATATACTGTATTACACATTGTAACTGTTACATAATGTACAATTTTGTATGTGTTAAATATGTTTGTACTTAATGGTACTAAATGTATATATTAAATATATTGTAATAATAATAAAGGTAATATGGAATCATAACCCAAAATCTGGTATGGCGGTTTTGTATATGTATAAATCAGATACCTTTTTTCTTTTTTTGAAGAAGGGAAGAACGTTTTAGCCAGAGTGAACAGCAGGTATGAAGGCGGTGGGGTGAGAGAGAAGTGCATTTGTGCGCCTGCCAGTAACTCCCAGATACCAGGTTTTTGTGGGTAATTTGATGGCAGAACCATTTGCAAAGACAGAGATTAGAGGAGGGGAGAAGAGATGAGTTTTGGAGAGGTTTGACATAAATATGTAACTCTGAAATTTCCTTAGAATTGGGAGACCTCAACCTGGAGATGGAGGTCAGGTAATAGATGTGGCTAGCATGACTTCTGGAACATATGAAGGGAAGAAAATCCAAGATGGACCTTACTAGAAGCACAGGGAACAGGGAAAAGTTTGAGCCAGAAGAGGAGCAGCTTTGGGTTAAAGGAATCCAGGAGCAATGTCAGGGAAGGAAGAGAGGATTTCAAGGTTTGTCTCCAGGACCTAGTGCTTCAAAGAGTACGGGAAGGGCATGGAGAGAGCCCTTCTCATGGGTGAACCTTGTAAAAACAGCTTCAAAGGACCAGGGGACCCCTGCAGGATGTAGTAGGTTGAAGACTGAGCGAAAGACGAGAGAGATTTGTTGGTTAAAGATTGGAAGGGAAGATAGAATTGAGACAGTGCTTAATATAGAGAAGGGCTTTTATGCCTAATGCAAAGTACCAATACTGAGGGCTGCACCAGTGCAGAATCTTAAAAAATCTTTTTCTATCTAACTTCTAGAGAGACTGGACTTCATCTGCCAATCAATGCCACTGGAAACCTGGGATTGCTGTGTACTCTAAGGTGGTGTCTACTAATGTTCCCTGTGTCTGGAATAATCTCACTGCATCTCAGCCATAGGCTTCAGGAAAATTTCCCAAACTAAGGGAAGTGACCCCTCCTCTTGCTCCATAACACCACGGTGCATGTTTCGTACTGCCCTCCCCAGAACACAGTCTAATTCCCATGAGACTGTAAAGTCCTTAAGGTTAGCTTGGGACCTAACTCCCCCCCTCCCCCCCCTTATTTTTTTTTTTTTTTTTTTTGACAGGCAAAATTAGACAGTGACAAAGAGACAGACGGAAAGGTCTTCCTTCCATTGGTTCACCCCCCAAATGGCCGCTACGGCTAGCGCGCTGTGCTGATCCAAAGCCAGGAGCCAGGTGCTTCTCCCTGGTCTCCCATGCAGGTGCAGGGCCCAAGGATTTGGGCCATCCTCCACTCCCTTCCTGGGCCACAGCAGAGAGCTGGCCTGGAAGAGGAACAACCGGGACAGAATCCAGCGTCCCAACTGGGACTAGAACCTGGGGTGCTGGCGCTGCAGGCAGAGGATTAGCCAAGTGAACCGCGGCACCAGCCCAAGGGACCTTAATCTCATTTTTAAAAAAATTTACAGTTTCTGAAATAGTGCTTAGTTCATGGTAAGTGTTCAGTGAAGGTTGACTTGAATGAAGTTATATCATCTTGGGGAACAGGGGTTCTACAGGGAGCTTATTCTCTTACTGGGCCCAGCTCAAGACCTATAGCATAGTTACTTGTTCCTTAAAGTTTTATTTCCTGAGTGAAGGGGAAGCCATGATGATTTTTCTTGCTCAGAAGGAGGTTGGGTCATAAAAGCCCCAGGATTGGCCCTGCTGATGCTGTCTTTACTGCTCCATGAAGATAGCGTGTTGGCAGCCCTGTACAAAATCTGCCTTCCTCCATGGTTGACTTGCTATGAATCAGCAGTGTGTACTGTCAGGTGATAGTACAAAAAGTGTGTTCAGATTCTGTGTTATCTGTGTGTTTAAGGAACTAGGTGCTGGTAAAAGCAATGAAAATGTCTAGAAGGATGCACAGATTCTCAAGTGATTACCTCTAGGGAATGGGGCTGGGGGGCCAGGGTGGGAGGACTCATAGTTTGGGTAGTTCTCATTCTTTCTGCATTGTTTCAAGTTTTTTTCAATAAGCATATATTATTGTACTTTAAAAAAGAAAAACTTGGCAACAAATCTAGCTTGAAATGGATGCTATTTTGAGTCACTTGAGTGAAAAGTTAGGATTTAAATAAATTAACTCCCTAAACTCTGTTCCATTTCTTTCCTTTTTTTGGGACATGCTCAAGCTGACTTACCTCAAACGGTAGAGTTAGAAACATACCAGGGGATTCCAATTCAATCCAATCAAGGTGGCATGTACCAATGCCATCTCACTAATCCCAGTGATCAATTTCTGTTCACAATTGATCATAATGATAGGACTAAGAACCAAAGGGATCACATAAACAAGAATAGTGTCTGCAAATATTAACTGATAGAATAAAAAAGGGAGAGAATGATCCAACATGGGAAGTGAGATACACAGCAGAGCCATAGAATGGCAGATGTCCTAAACAGCACTCTGGCCTCAGAATCAGCCCTTAAAGCACGTGGATCTGGCTGAAAAGCCCATGAGAGTATTTCAGGCATGGAAAGTCAAGACACTCTGGGGAAAAAAAAAAAAAAACCTAAATGAAAGATCTCCGCGAGTGAGATCCCAGTGGAAAGAATGGGTCATCAAAGAAGGAGGTACCTTTCTCTGAAGGGAGGAGAGAACTTCCACTTTGACCATGGCCTTGTCTAAATATGATCAGAGTCGGTGAACTCAGGGGGCTTCCATAGCCTTGGCAGCTCATGACAAGAGCCTAGGGTGATTACTGATGCCATAAACAAGAGTGTCAATTTGTTAAGTCAACAACAGGAGTCACTGTGCACTTACTCCTCATGTAGGATCTCTGTCCTTAGTGTGCTGTACATTGAGATTTAATGCTATAACTAGTACTCAAACAGTATTTTTCACTTTGTTTCTGTGTGGGAGCAAACTGTTGAAATCTTTACTTAATGTATGCTAAACTGATCTTCCGTATATAAAGAGAATCGAAAATGAATCTTGATGTGAATGGGAGACGGAGTGGGAAAGGGGAGGGTTGCGGGTGGGAGGGACGTTATGGGGGGGAAGCCATTGTAATCCTAAAGCTGTACTTTGGAAATTTATATTCATTAAATAAAAGTTAAAAAAAAAATTTTAAAAGATTTATTTATTTATTTGAAAGGCAGAGTTACAGAGAGAGTTGGAGCAGTATACAGGGTCGGGGGAAGAGAAAAGAGATCTTCCATCCACTGGTTCACTCCCCAGTTGGCCATAATGGCCAGAGCTGGGCCTATCTAAAACCAGGAGCCAGGATCTTCCTCTGGGTCTCCCAAATGAATGCAGGGGTCAAGGACTTAGGCCATCCTCCACATTAGCAGGGAGCTGGATTGGAAGCGGCACAGCTAGGACTCAAATCAGTGCCTATATGGGATACTGGCACTGCAGCAGTGTCTTTACCTGCTGTACCACAATGCCAGCTGCCCTCCCTTTCCATTTCTTGATACTTGGATTATATCTAATTCCATTACACTCTCCATTATTAATTTAATTTTTAATTATTTTAATTGTACATAATTAGGGTATGGAATAATAACACATGTTCAGTGTGTGAATTTCAAATCAATTTTATTTCATTTCATCTCAAACATTTAGTATTTTTTGATGACTAATACTTGTACATATTTATGGGGTACAGTATGACATATATATGTATATATACACACACATACAATGTGTACTGATGTAATCACCATAACTAATATCACTCTCCTTGTCATTACTTTTTTTTTTACAGGCAGAGTGGACAGTGTGAGAGAGAGAGACAGAGAGAAAGGTCTTCCTTTTGCCGTTGGTTCACCCTCCAATGGCCGCCACGGCTGGTGCACTGCGGCCGGCGCACTGCGCTGATCTGATGGCAGGAGCCAGGTACTTATCCTGGTCTCCCATGGGGTGCAGGGCCCAAGCACTTGGGCCATCCTCCACTGCACTCCCTGGCCACAGCAGAGAGCTGGCCTGGAAGAGGGGCAACCAGGACAGAATCTGGTGCCCCGACCAGGACTAGAACCTGGTGTGCCGGCGCCACTAGGTGGAGGATTAGCCTAGTGAGCCGCGGCGCCGGCCTCTTGTCATTACTTTTGATTGGACTTTTGAGCTCCTTTCTTCTGTTTGTTCAGAAAATAGATATTAGGCTGTTGTGTGAAGTGTGGTCACCCCACTGTGCTGCTGTGGAACTTACTCCTAACTCTGTTTTGGTGCCATTATTCGACCTGCCTCTCTCCCCCTCCCCCAACCCCTTCTCAGCTTCTAGTAATAATCTGTTTGTTTTCAGATTGACATTTTTATTTTGCTCCCACCTATGAAGGAGAATGTGCAGTATTTTATTTATGTCTGATTTATTTCATTCAATATAATATCCTCCATTTCCATCGGTTTTGCTGCAAATGACAGAATTTCATTCTGGTTTATGGTTGAGTAATATTCCACTGCATTATATGTCTGTCTGTCTACCTATCTATCACTTTTTCTTCATCCATTCATCTGTTGATGGGCATCTTGGTAACTTCTATATTTTGGCTGTTGGAAATCATGTTGCTGTAAACATGAGAGTGCAGGTATCTATTTGATACGGTGATTTTTTTCTTTTGAAGGTATACCCAGTAGTGCAATTGCTGGATCATATGTTAAGTATATTTTTAGTGTTTTTACGGACACTCCATAGTGTCCTTTTATAGTGGCTGTAGTAATTTATATGCCCACCAGCAGAGTATAGGTGTTCCCCTTTCTCCATATCAGTTCTTCAAATGTAACTTTTAAATATGCTTTAAGTTCATCACTTCTGTTTAAGTATTATTTACAGTAGTCCCCCTTTATTCCAAGGCCCCCAGTAGGTGCCTGAAACCAAGGGTAATACTGAACCCTCTACTGTATTTAGTCCTGTGTATGCACACACAAATTTAATGCTTTCTCCATCTTAATAGAGCACTTAGTCATACCAGTGTGGCTGTAACTTTTGCATTTTGAAGAGTGACAGCAAATTTAATGTGAGTTTATTTGTCACAGTTTTATGGATAGATTTGTTC